ACCAGATGTATCATAGTTATACATCCATGATTATATGAATGTTCGTGGATCATCGAAATGTAGCGATTTCCAGCAATCAAGCATGTTGGCGATTGCAACCGGATGAGTGATGGCGTCCCATGGTTCGGAATTGATATTGGCGCAATGCGGAATTGGAACGCTCGTGATTGGTCACTGCTTCATTCCGCCGATTCCGCTGTTTTCTGTTACATAAATTTATTTCTTTTGCAAATTCCGCCGATGCCTGCGTGTGTGCGTGTACATGTACATATATTTATAAAAGCTAACCTCGTTAAGCTAATTTAAATGGAGAAAACTGTCTTCTACAAGTACTATAGTTAATCAACATGCTGAGGTGTGTTCGGATTTCCACTTTGGTATTCTCCAGGTATTATGTCATTCTTGTTTAACAACTTTGTTTCGGACTGTTTTCCAGCTAGGACGTTACACTGTGTTCCATACGTACTTGTAAACGCAGTTTAGTTTCGTAGGGTAACATCAGAATGCATTGCAGTCTGCTATTTTATTCTTATAATTATAATATTCTTATAATTATATTGATTTAGCATATCAATAATAGATTTATGATTTAAACTTAAGTTATAATTTTTTTAGAATTGGCGATTTTTGAAGGTTTTATTACAAAATAAGTACCAAATAATTTTTGAAAAGTTGGTAACACTGACATATTTTACACGCTCGTATTTAGATATGGTGGAAGGAATAACCGGGACACTGAAGAGATACTATTAAAGACCGACATCCTTACGGGAGTTGGCGCCCTTATGAATATATTGAAGTAATTACGAGTTAAAAACTGAAAATACTAATTTTATGATTTATTAGTGGACATATTTATGCATTTAGAACTCAATAATATTCGATATTTCTTTAAAATTGTGATTTCAGTGCTATTATCAAAGTTTGATTATCAACAGAGATGACTGCAGAGAAAAAATTGTAATTTTTCTGCAATATATAGAATATTATAACTTTACAAGTATGCATATTTATTTATGGAACATTTATATAATAAAAAATCATGAATTTAATAATGTATGAATCAAATATTTACTACTGTGATCAAAAAGTAAGGTGAATTTTTAATTTAAACTTCCCGCGCTAATCGATTCGAGCAAACTTTTTTATTTTTATGTTGGTACTACTGTTAGTGACATCTGTGGCAAATTTCATGTCAATGTCATCATTAGTCATATAGTTACGCTTGTGTTTTCTAAACGACTAAAAGTGATTTTGGCGATTTTTACAATGTCTGATTTTGCTGAGCAAAGAAGTGCCATTAAATTTTGTTTGCGGAATGAAATTTCGGCTGCGGAAACGTTCAGAATGTTGCAGAGGGCCTTCGGAGAATCGACTATGTCGCAGAAAAATGTTTATAAGTGGTACAAAGACTTCAAAGAAGGCAGAGAACGTACTGATGACTTGGAACGCCCCGGACGACTATCAACGTCAATTGATGAGCAACACGTGAAGAAAATCAAGGAATTGGTGCTCGAAAATCGTCGATTGACAATTAGAGACCTTGTCGATATGGTTGGCATTTCATTTGGTTCAGTTCAAACAATTTTGAAGGATCACTTGGGCCTTAGAAAAGTAAAATCTCGTTTGGTGCCAAAAACACTCAATTTCTTCGAAAAAGAACGTCGCGTTAAAGTTTGTAAAGAGATGATTTGTGACTATCAGGACGTCTACGAACGCATTATTACGGGAGATGAGACTTGGATCTATGCTTATGATCCGGAAACAACCGACCAATCGAGTGAATATCGTGCTAAAGGCGAGGCAAGACAATCGCGCCAAAGTCGCTCAAAAATCAAGGTTATGCTGACAGTTCTTCGACTATCGTGGTGTTGTGCATTATGAGTTCCTTCCGCCGGGCCAAACTGTCAACAAGAAATATTATTTGAGTGTTATGCGTCGTTTGCGTGAAGCTATTCGCAAGAAGAGGCCGGATTTATGGAAAGACAATTCCTGGTTTTTGCATCACGATAATGCGCCGTCTCACACGGCATTGATTCTTCGTGAGTTTTTCGCCAAAAATTCCACTTATATCGTTCCGCAACCGCCTTATTCACCTGACTTAGCTCCGTGTGACTTTTGGCTATTTCCCAAACTCAAAAGACCGCTCCGGGGACACCGCTTTGAATCTATTGAAGAGATTCAACGTGAATCGCTGCGCGCTTTGAAGGCTATACCGGGAAACGACTTTTTGGCATGCTTCGAGGCATGGAAAAAACGTTGGCATAAGTGCATTGTATCGGAGGGGGATTACTTTGAAGGGGATCAAATTGATTTGGATGAATAAATAAAGATTTATTTTATAACAAAATTCACCTTACTTTTTGATCACAGTAGTATGTTAATAATAGCAAATTTATATCAATTGTCGATAATGTCAACGTTCTTCAATTACCTCTGGGCCCTTGGGGCCCTTTTTATGTCGCCAATAATTTACCCAGAATTGACGGTCTCTAATAGTAGTAGTCTCTAATAGATTCGCTGACCTTACGATCTCTATCGTAATTGGGCAATTCGCTTACTGTCTTAAGGCTTTACGTTTTTGTATGTGGGCTTTAGAAAAAGACAAAGAGTAAGTTGAACTAAGATTAAAGTTAATCTAAGTTGGTGAAAACGGGCATAAGGCTGTTAATTGTAAAACGCTAAACATGGGGCGATATTCATAGTCCGTTTTTATTTTAAAACTGTCTTAAATAATGCCTTAAGATGCTAATATAATCCTCGGACTATGACATCTTAAGATTGTACTTAAGGTAGTCTTAAACGCAAGAATCGACTATGAATACCGGTCTGCGTGTCGTAAAATTGGCATTGAATCTTTCCTTATTTACACACAAAAGAACACACTTTATGTTTCTCTTTCTATAGAAAAAGTAAAAAATTGTTCATGCATGAATATGTATAAATATGTATAAACATACAAAAATACGCACAAATATTCATAAACATGTATAATTACATATGAAATATGTCCATACATATTCATGATTCCTTCTTTTTTTGTAAAATTACTTTTTAGTTTAATTGTAATTACTTTTTCAATGTAATTACTTTTAATAGAAATAATAATAGTAATGTGAAAACATAAAAAAATAATAAAAATGGTAATTTTCGCATTGTTTGTTTTAGAAAAAAACAAGTTTGGAAAAATGTAAAAAAAATTGCTCATACATTTAATAAAAATTATACACTTATACATAATTATTAATTTTATATATAATTATGCATAAATAATTTTTTTACATTTCTTCAAGCTTGATTTGTTCTAAAACAAACAATGCGAAAATTACCATTTTTATTATTTTTAATGTTTTTCATTATTATTATTATTTCTATTACACTAAAAAGTAATTTTACAAAAGAAAAAAGGATGTATAAACGTGTATAGACATATTTCATATATAATTATACATATTTATGAATATTTATGCGTGTTTTTGTATATTTATATATATTTATACATATTTATGCATGAAAAATTTTTTACTGGGACGTAATGCAAATTTTTCATAATTACTTACGCTGCATTTGGTACGTATGAAAAGGAATAACGGCAACAGTATATTAAAGTTTAATCTCAAATATGTGTCTTTTATTTGCTCAGCTTGAAAATTAATATGGTAACTTAAAAAGATAAAAACTTGTGATTATATGGCAACTGTTATGCAAGAATCAGACTGTGCATTAAAGATAAAGATTAAAGATTAAAGATTGAAATTTCACCAATGAGGACAAAGAAATTTTGGCTTCTTTTGTTCTAATTGGTTAAACTTTAATCTTTTAACCTTCAATCTCATTCTTCTGGCCTTAGTATAGTTACAATTTGGACAATTACCATTTCAGATAATTATCTAGAATTTAGAATATCTCCATCACTTCAAATCTTAATAAAAATGTACTCATTATATATATATGTACTCATTGTAAATATACTCAATTTTTACATTTGGCAAATATTGCAGACTTTCTCGATTTCGAATTCTTTGCTGCTCATTGTTTGTTCGGTTGAACTTCAATGAGATGCGGCAAAATATATTTTGCGTCGAAAGTGCGTCATCTCATGTAAAAGTTTTTACCAATAGCAACGAATTGCTGCCGCAATGTGCTGCGTATGGAAAATCAGCTTAAGATTGTCTTAAGTATTTAAGATGTCATAAGTCAATCCAAGGACTGTATTAACATCTGAAGACATTATTTAAAACAGTTTTAAAAACGGACTGAATATCACCCCATTAGCGTTTCACAGTTGGTGGCAGCCTTAGGCCACGGTCCGATTTCACGCTCACAGTTCTATCAGTGGCTTAGTTTCCACCGAGGGTTTAAATCGAATCAGAATTTAAAAACCAACCAACTACAGTCGAATATTCCCCTGTCGTTCGACAGTAACAGGGAAATACTCGACTGTAATTGGTTGGTTCTTAGAAATTAAGCCAGTGCTTACAACATTAACTCGGTAAAAAATGTTTCATGCATGAATATATATAAATATGTATAAACATATATAAATATGTATAATTATATATAAAATATGTCCATACATGTTCATACATCCTTCCTTCTTCTGTAAAATTACTTTTCAGTGTAATAGAAATAATAATAGTAATGTAAAAACATTAAAAATAATGAAAGAGATTATTTTCAGATTTTTTGTTTTAGAAAAAAAAACAAGTTTGGAAAAATGTAAAAAAAATTGCTCATACATAATTATACATAATTTTTTATATAATTATACATAAGTAATTTTTTTACATTTCTTCAAATTTGATTTTTTAAAACAAATACTACGAAAATTACATTTTTAATTATTTTTAATGTTTTCACAATACTATTATTATTTCTACTATACTATTATAAAAAGAAATTTTACAGAAGAAAGAAGGATGTATGAACACGTATGGACATATTTCATGCATAATTATACATGTTTATGAATATTTATGCGTATTTATGTAATATGTTTATACATATTTATATATATTCGTGCATGAAAAATTTTTTAATGGGAATGGTCGGTCCAAAACAAATAGCATGCTAAGGTTCTTTTATTGGACCGGTCATAAGCACAATTCATAAATTGGAAAACGTAACCTGATACTGAAAGGTAAATGGAAAGTGTATGTATGGTTCGCATAATAGAAGAAATAATATCAAGAATAGAAGTAAATATTAAATACTAGAAAAAGAAAAAATTAGGAATAGAGATTAAACGTAACGCACAATAAATATAGTTAATAAAATATGATAAAATAGTTTACAAAATATAATGTCTCATATTCTATTTATATCCATTAAGTATTTACATATTTATTTTCTAATTTTTTATTTCTAATATTTAATATTTATTCGTATATTTGTTCTTAATCTTTTCTATTGTATGCAGGACTTATATTATAACCTAAAAAGATAGATATCTCACCCGACGATTGGTAAAAAAAAGAAATGGAGATAAATGAAAAAGTTACATTACTACAATTTCTTTTGTTGTGAAAGCAATGATGAAGATGACGATTTAAAATTTTTAATGAATATGTCTTCAAATAATGACGAGAGCAAAGAGAAAGAAGTAGAAGATTTTATTACAGTTACTGATTTAGGTCTATACAGACAAAGTGAAACACAAATTAGATCTTGCGTCAAAGAATATGTGGAAAGAATTGTTTCTAATTATATTGCTGAAGAATTTAAAATACACTTCAGGTACAGTCAATGACCATTGCTTGAGTTCAAGAAAATATTATAGTATCATAACAATGATTATTTTAGAATAATTGTTAACTGCGTTAACTGCGTTAATTGTAAATTGCGAAATTCCAATTACTTTATTTACAGATTATTTCTTACAACCTTTGAATTCTTATTAGAACTAATAGGACTCATATATTAATTAAATCACTTAGTGGCAGAAAGCTATTGTACTAGTCCAGAAACAGCTTCTATTAGCTTTATGAATGATGGCAACACCAGATTCATATAGGTATAGTAACATATCTTAGCTTCTCGTCAAGAAAAAGAGAAAAGTTTTTTATTATATCATTTTTTCGTTATATGAAATACGAATTATAGGTCTGCGTGTATAAAATTTGATGTAGAAAAAACTACAGCAATTTGTATTATGAGGAGAGTTATTTATGCCTTGTTCCATGATTTATTTAGTGCCTCAGGGTGAGAGAGCAACCAAAGTGATAGAAGAATTTGAAAGAGCTAGTGGATTTCCTAAACTTATAGGATCTATTGATGGCGCGCACATGAAGATAATAGCTCCACAGGATAAACAATCATATGTGAACCACAAAGAATATCATTTAATCCACATATAAGTAAGAATTTAAAAACTATCTTTAAAAATAATTGGAAGTTTTTATCATTTATTAGTTACTATTTTATCTTTTTAGATAGTTTGTCATCAAAAATTCCTCTTTAAAAGTGTTTTGGCTGGGAATGTTGGATCGATGCACGATGCACATGTTTTTCGGCTTTCATCTGTCAGACAATATATTGAAAATCCGCAAATCTATTTTTCTAACGATTCTCATATTGTTGGAGATGCTGCCTATGTTATTCATCCTCATATCATGCCTTTTAAAGATAATGGGCATCTAACAGTCAGACAAAAAATTTTAATTTTTGTCAGTTTTCAGCAAGAATTTTAATTTAAAGAGCAATTGGGTTGTGAAAAGTACGCTGGAGAAGTATTCTTGATTTCAATTTGAATTGGTATACAAACCTATGAACAACTTGAACAGGTTTATAAAAACGGAAAAAGATAAAATAAAAAAAGATGAACTTTCGAATGTGGTATACCGAATTAATTGTAAGGACTGCGATTATTCGTACGTTGGTCAGACAAAAAGGAAATTAAAGACGCGTTTAAAAGAACATATTAATGATTTAAAAAAATCAGTTAATTCTCACTCAGTCATCTCAAATCAGATTTGACACAGACCACGCGATAGATTGGGCGAACGCTAAAATATTAGATTCAGAACGCTCTCATAAAAGATTAGTATCTGAAATGATTTATATTAAGATGCAAAAAAATGGCTTAAATAAACAAAGTGGTACGGAACGGTTTCCAGATCTCTATCTCCCTCTCCTTGAACAATAGTTTCCAGCCCCACTTTGAACTCTTCCCCTTCCTTTCTTTTTTCTTACCCTTCTTTTTTCCTTTTTCCTAATATAAATAGACCAGCTTTTTTGGCTTTTGGCATTATTGCAGTTTAAATTCACTCTTTACCTAAAATTGTCAGTGTTCAGTTATACGGAGGAGCCCTCCAGGATACACGTAAGTTTGTTCAGTTGATTTTTCAAAAGGATAAAGAATTTTTTAAAATAACTCTCGGGATTGAATCTAAACAGGATATTGCTTAATCTGATTGTTTTTGACAAAAATACGACGATAATTAATTTACTTGTTAAAAAATTTTTGTTTTTACAATAGAACTTGGTACTTGCGTGTCTCTTCGTGTGGGCTTGTCGTTTTTTTAAAATGAAGAATTCTTAATTGTATTATGAAAGAAAAAAACTTTTGTAATTAATTTCTTTCTATTCATTTAGCGCGACAACAATTAACTATTACTTTAATCTACTTCGATCGATTGCGATTAATACTGTATCATAAGGAAATAATAATTTTTGTTACTAGCTATCACTACATTTATTAGTTCACTTGTGTATTTAGTTTTAATGTTTAACGTATTCAATTTTATTGTACTGAAGAAGGTCAAATCTTGACCGAAACGTCTACTTATTGTTATGAAATTGTTTTTAAATAATATATACAATAACTTATTTACATCCTTAGTCGAGGCTGTATGTTCTTTATTATTTAACCTTTGTAAATTTCTTAGCCACTTTCTATTAATTTAAATATTCTTGATTGTTTGGCCATGATCACCATAGAAAAAAATTCCTGAATGCTTAGTACTTACTTGTGTATTACACAATATTTGTTTATTACACAATATTGAAAGGAGATTTGATAGATTTTAATCAAGCATATGAAGAAGATACATCATATGGAACATTAATATCTGCTAAAGTGGAGGATAATAATGCTAAACGACAAAGAATTATGAATAATTTGATAATGAAGGTTAATGTTTTTAACTTTATTTAATGCAAATTTTTTTACAGCAGATTTTATTTACTTTATTAATAATAAAAATGTGTTTAATAAAAATAAAATGCTTGAAATACAACTTAATTCATATGTATATAGCTTATTTAAAATATAATATAAATATTAGCACAATTGTAAAAATATAATCGTAATGTTAATACTTTTAAGCGAAATAAACATCATGCGCATGTAAGATAGCAGAATTGAATATTTCTGATGCACAATTTGTGAATGTAGCATGATTATATAAACTAAGTATCGATTTATTATCTGGGGGGGGGGGGGGGTTGAAAA